TCTTTTTATGATACAAAACGACCCTGAAAATCCCAGGTCGCTAGCTCAATTCCTTCTCGAGTTATCGTGCGTACAGACAAACAAACACACACACACACACACACACTCACAGACAGACAAACAGACGCGAAACTTTTTGATCATCACTGGTGTATAATAGGCTTCGCTATCGCTCAGCCAACTATGGAGGTCCCGGTTCAGCGCCGCGGCCACCGCCGCTTCCTCTTCAGCTACAAGCAGCAGGGCGCGCCGGTCAAGATCACGGTCTAAGTAGCCATCTGACAGCTGTGCCGCCACAAGCCGCAAGAGGACTCTCTCTCCCCTACGATCGAGGTCCCAGTTCAGTGGTGCTAGTTGTGGTGCCTCCAGGAGTGATACTTCTGCTCTCCCCACGAACCAGTCCCTCTCCTTGTCAGGGCCCAGGTCTTCATTGGGTGCTCAGTCAAGGAAGAGGTCGCCTTCCCCTGACTTCTCTTTTCTAGATTTGCCCTCTTCACCTGAGCCTGCTCTTCCCACGAGCAAGTCCTACTCCTCGTCAGGGCCCAGGGCATCACTGGGTCCCCAGTCGAGAAAGAGGTCCCCTGACTTTTCGTTTTTGGACCTGCCCCCATCGCCTGAGCCTGAGCCCGCTGACCCAGAAGATCCCGACCAGCCAGCAGAAGAAGCACTCTGCCAAGAAACCAAGCTCTGTGAAGCCGCAGCCCATGAGGCGGCGAAGGCCCCCCGGTAAGGCAAATAAGCAGCAGGACCAGAAGAAAAGCAATAAGTTGCGCGGCAGGCAGCAGTTCTCACAGATTTGACACAGGCAGAAGACGCACCTGCGAGCACGTGCGCAATCACCGATCTGAAAATTGAAAAGAGAGTAATTAAAACAAGCGGAAGATGAGTCCAGTTATATCAGTGAGTATGATTAAATGTTTAGAGCGATAACATCAGGGACCCAACATAAGATATGAATAAAATACGATACACCCCACTCAAGCATTGATGCTGTTAAACGAATACCCGGAAAATATCTCTGAATCCCAAACTTGAAGCTAAATCAAACAACTCACAAATGACAATAGAAACAACGACCAAAACGAAAATGCAAACTATAATTAAAG